AGGAATTCTATGACAGTGAAGATGACCTGGATGAGAGGGTAAATGACACACACACTAACCACAGTCATTACTGACCTTTAAGTCAAAATAGACTGTGAAAAGCTTGGCCTTTTTCCTTTCATTTTACATTATCCATTTTGGAAAGTTTATAAATAAAATTAAACGAAGAAAGATGAGGCGGCGCTATAGAAATTAATGTTTTGTTTATTATCTCCTAACTCCAGGTGAGCCCATTACCCAAAAGCCGGTCTCCTCTGTCATCAAATGGAGGTGGTGGACACTGGAGTGTCAGTTCTTCCGCTGCTAGTACAAGTAGCAGACCTTGTCAGGCTTACGAGAACATAGAATTTCTATATAAAAATCCACCAGTCAATAGCGCCCCCTCTGGAGCTTCAATGCCTCCGCCACTGCCAGCTAAATCCATCCAAAGAGGTAAACTACGTTATACAGATTCTCTAGATTAAAAATAAATGAATGAGTTATTTAAGCCAATGCTAGTTTCATCAATTTACATTGTTGCTCTTGTTCTTCTTCTTTTGCCCTCCACAGGCCGCTCAGACCCACAGATCTCAGCCACAGCGGATGAAGGAAACCAAATTCCACGACGCTGCTCGAACCCGTCCTATCACTCATCCAGTCCCCAGATGCAGGCACGACAGAGTCCTCCTTCAGGAAATACAGAAAACCAAGGCCAAGGTGGGAGACCCCCTAGGTCTCCAAATGGACAAGCAAGCCTGCTCAAGGCGCATAGGCAGACATGGGATGGTCATCTTGGTTTGAGTTCTGGATCTCAAAGTGGTGCCACATCAGGTTTTCCTCAGAATCACATAGGGCCTGTCAGGTGAGGAAGAAGAATGTGACTCTAGCTCCTGTTGTTTTAATACTACACAGTTTAGTATAATTTGATCTTGTTATTTTTCCAGTTCGGAGAAGACCACGTCATACCGCCGCACGAGCAGCGGAGGAGGCAGCCAGGGAAAGTGTAGCGTTTTGTCTCCGGCCTGTGTGGGCAGCCAGGAAGATCTGTACTCCACCCCAGGAGGGAATAGTAAAGCCCTTACCCCAGCTACTGCTCCAGTCCCCGCCCCTTCGTCCTCACCTGATTTGACCTGTATTCCACGACCTCGCAGGAATGCTATGGTACAAACGACAAAGACACCTTTTTGTATTATTTTTAAATACGTTCAAGTTCTCTATGTCACACACTTCCATTTCAGGAGTTTTTCACTGGGGAAAAAACACTTAAGAGATTTCACAGTCAGTGTATGAATTTGCTGGTGGCACACTGAGAAGCATAGCTTACAGAAGCATATGTCTTTTCCAGGTTTCTAACAGCAGGCCACATCAGAAGCGCGTCAAGGCTTTGGTGGACTGCCGAGCCGTCAGTTCTGAGCAGCTCGCCTTTTTCAAAGATGAAATTATTGTGGTGACAGCCACTAATGACCCCCACTGGTGGGTAAGTGTAACTACAGATTCATTACCACCTATTTCCCACTCAGTAGCAGCTTTTTGCATGAAGGCCCAGCCATCAGTCTAAGATAACCTTGTTCATTCACCCACTACATACTTTGTTTCTTTCAGTAGTTTACTCAGGAGTCAATCCAACAGTTATTACTATCTGGCATTTTTGTGGATTTGTATATTTATAAACTCAGAGTAAAGTACAGTAAAATAAATTACCAAAGTTATAAAAGTTAAAATAAATTGACTGGAAATAGTACATAGAGGGATTTGATTGACAGACATATATTTTTCCTAACAGACTGGTCACATAGAGGGGGATCCATCCAGGAGTGGGGCCTTTCCTGTAAACTATGTACACAAACTAACAGACTGAAGAGGGAACACAGTATTCTTCAAAATGGCAAAACTCAACCATTTGATCCTTGGAAGTCGATCATCACAAGTTGGAATTTATCCAGGAGTGGACTGTATTATTTTTCTTGGATACAACTGGAACTGACAACATTCCCACATAACGATTTCTTGGCAAAGGGATATGTGAACATTGCGACTTTAGGATTTTAAACATTTAGTCATCCCTAGAAGGCAATAACAAGAACTGAAAGCTTTCATGCCACCCTTTCTAAAACCCTACACAGCTATTAAAAGGAACAAGTTGTGCATTTATTGTCCAATGTTCATTTGACCATTAATTGTATATTTGTATAGCAAATGCTGAAGTTGCTTATGCTGATCTAGGACTTGTACATAGAGGCAATAATTACTTGTAGGGCAGAAACCCTGTAAGGCACTTTAAACTCTGAAGGAATCTTCAGAAAAGCTGGCACAGCTGTAAGTGTGTACATAGCCAGCTACTGAATTGGGATGTAGCTTTTTTCCCCCCTTTTCCTTTGTTCTTAATAGAAACCGTTGAACTGTTTGGAATCGCAGTATACTGTGACTTTGATATAAGGTTCAAACCTGCTCAGTGTCTCAGTGCCGCCTTCCCGGGAACCTGCCAGCCAGTCTGCCTCCTGCAGGCGTCTGGACACCCCAAGGAGAGATCAGAAACTTTAGCCCAGTCGTGTTGACTCTCTGCATAGCTCTCTGGCGGCATGGAGAGCAGAGGATCCGGTTTCTTTTGGCTGTAGGCACTATTCTCTGGAGAACATGGAATAACGATGGTGTTAAGAAAAAAAAAAAGACTCTTCTGTACTACCAGAAAATGGCACTTTAAGAGGGCTTGTTAAGAATAGCACCCTACTGCAGTAATTTGTTCAGTGAACACATCTTTTCATACACACACAGTGGCCTTCAGGATCCTTTAGGAATGAAAGGATTGGAAAGCAGAGAATGGGAGAGCTTTCACTGCCAGACGTAAATCTTCAAATCTAACACATTTCACAGAATTTAACCCACAACTTCTTGTACATACGTGTCTGAAATGTCTATATATGTGCGCTCATCCAGAGTATATAACACCATTTTTTCATTTTTACATTTTATGTATCATAAAGGATTATATCATTACAGATAATCTTACTTCATGTCACGAATTTGATGTCCTCTCATTTGACATCTTTTGCCTTCTGGTGTTTTGTTAGTTGTTAAATGACTGTGGATGGGAGCGGATGGACACAGATGCATAATGTATTCATAAAGCATTCTTTCTCATTAAACTAAAAACTTGTCGCAGTTTCTTCTGGCAAATAAATCATGAGAGAAGCAGGTTATCAAAGATGACAACAGTTTACTGCATCTGTAAGTAGGAACTAGCAGATTAGCTAATTTCATTGGGTGTATTTGACACATACACATTAAACTTCTTTAACTCCTGTGATGTCTTTTATACTTTTACATAAGGTCAGATGTTTTGGTACCAAGGATGTCATCTACTAATCAGAAGGTTGGTGGTTTGATCCCTGGCTGATTGAGTTATTGTGCCAAACTGTTACTGGGCGAGATTCTGAAGCCCGATTCGCTCTGGATGTGTTAATCAGTGTGCGAGTGATATAAGACATGAGTTGCATAAAGTACTTTGAGTGCTTAAGTGTAGTAGGGAAGTGCTATATACAAACCAGTCCATTTATTTCAGCACATTATTAAAAGTAAAGTTGGTGGAATGGTAACTCGAGACAGCAATCAGGGAGATTAAAATGCACTTTACTGTCTTGTCTCCAGCTGCCTGTGGCTGCGACACAGTATAATCTAGGCTCGACACTGCCAGATTATGAAATGTGTGACTTATAATACTTAAGAATACACTAATCCCTAATAGTCCATATTCTGAAAACCTGAACTCATTTAAGATCTTTAGAGTCCAATATAAGACCTGCAAAAAATTACTTTGTTCTAATCAACAGGTAAAACCTCTGTTAAAAAAAAAAGAATAAATTAAATTTTAATTTTGACATTTGCTTTTCCACCTTTCTTCCTTTTTCCGATATTACCCCCCATTTTATTCTTAAATGACTTCCTACAGCTAAATCTCTTCAGCCGTCTCTCTTGGCGGTATTCTCTACAGTTCTGTGTTATTCCAGCTTCACTTCCTCTCCATCCAGATGTTACTTATCCCCAACCCTCTGTCCCAGAGCCAGGATGACCAAATTCCAACCTGTCACTTACATAACACTTAACTAACAGCCAGGATAATAACTCACTCTACCACACACTAGTCTGTTCTGCTGGCTGAGCAGCCCATGTGTAAACCCATATCCGTTGTCCTGTCTGGCTGTACTAGTACACCCAGAGTATATAAATGTCAGCTGTAAAATATTAATTTCTAAAAACCTTTAAATAACAAACATCCGTTCGCTAATAGGCTTATCTATTTTATCATTATATACACGAATACAAGAATGTACAAATATAATTTAATGTAATACACTGAAATATTATAGGCATCTATAAAATGTGGAGTAAAATTAATGATTCCAAAGCAATCTTTTGTAAATATAATAGGTTTGAATATAAGTTTGCAAACTCTTAAAATTAATAAAATGTAATGGAGATTATACTAACTTCCTAATACTCAAGATAGTGAAATCTGTGTAAAACCCATACACATGTTAATGCTTCTTATTAACTGAGAAGCAGTAAAATCACTGGCTTAAAGTGCTATAAGACATACTTGTTTGCAATAATGAGCACTTAGAAGTGGGATATATTTGAGTAATTATACAATTTCCCTGAACAGAGGGTTATCAAGCTTCCACTTAACTGCATAATGAGCTGAGAAAGGACTCTAATGGACAAGCAAATGGCTAAATAGCACACTCACCGGTAAGACATGCTAAATGTATTTGCTGGATGATGCTTTCACAGTTTGTTCCTTTCTGGCCTGCAGCAGTTACGTCAAAAAAGCAGTTTTCTGCTGACCTGGGCCTACACTGCTGTGAGCTACTGCTAGCTGCTGCTGCAAGGTGACCCTAATAGTTCTTAAACCTCCCACGCAACGAGAACACAGATTAAATTTAGAGATTCCATCTGAAATTTGAGCGCTTTATATTAGCAGGTTCTGGGGAAGGAGGGAAAAAAAGCAGTCTATTTCTGCAGCATTTGAATCATTAAGTCCATTTATTCTAATAATTCAGGCTATTTTACAAAAAAACCCTATAATGCTTAAAATGAAATCATACTAGCCTTGCACAATGTGGCTCTGTGCCTCAAGTTTGTAACAGTGTCAAGAAAGCAAAAAGAAGTAGTTGCAAATTCAAGCAAAATAAGAAAACAGGGCAGAACATTCAGTATTTCACTTTCCAGCAAAAACCACAAGCCTGTTTTTCAAAAGTACATCAGTTACATCAAGGTTCAGGAGATAATTAACTTCCATTTCAGCTCAATTTTTAACACTGAGAGAAAATCAGTGGCCACAACCCTGCAGTTAAGCATATAACATTGACTAAAATCTGATTTAACATTCATACTACAGTAGAATATACAGCTCTCAATCAGTAAAAATATCGTACTGTGAATATTCGACACCTGATTTACCGGAAATGAAAAACCTACAACATAAATATATTTATATATATATTATACCACATCACACAATAACAAACACAAAATATTAAAAACGTTCTAAGGATGAATAGCAATCAGAAAAGTTGTTTTGGATCTGTGGTCGGCCAGTGTCTGAGTCTATAAAGGGCTGTAAAGAGATGCAATTGTGGTAATAGTTTCACATCTTCAAAAAGAGTTAAAATCACTCGTATCAAAAGTTTAAGTAATTCCAGCAGTACGGAATGAACACAAGAGCATTTTTTCTGTTTTGTTTTTTGCAAACCACAGGTCCAAAAAAGATACATGTACGGTAATTATTATATTGAAAGAAAAAAGATAACAAACAGCAAAAAAAAAATAAAATATAGCAATAAACATTACATTCATTCTGCAAGTGGGCCCAGAGATCTTTGGGAAACATAGTTGTTGTTATTTTCATTCATAGAAAACACAAAAGGTGCAGTCCCACAGCAGTGCATGACTAGTGTGGGTTTTTTTCCTGTTCAGACAAAGATGCTTCAGGATGAGGTCTATGATGGCCATGAGTTAACCTGTTCATATATCATTACCATCGGTATAGGAACTGCCAATGCACACATACTTGATAAGGCATATTGAAAGCAATCTACAGTATAGGTCAGCTGGATGATCAGTTATAACTCAAGCTATATACATAGGACCATGAATACACGTTTAAGGCCTATGAGACCGTTTTGTTCTGCAAAGCATTTTGCTATCAACTAGCAGAGCTGAATATTGTTTGGTATATGTGCACAAGCAAGCAGTAGATAAATACCTTAGTCATGTGGAATGCTTAGATAGAGTTAGTCAACATTCAATGATAAGGTCATCATGTCTGTCGGTTGCTCAGCGGTAACACTGAAGATGCCGTTTCCTTTGCTTGAAGGGGTACTCCAGTGATTCTGTAAGGTAACAAAGTTGAGGAGCTTTCTTGATAGACCTATCAGATCAGATTTTTGAATAATCTCTCCATTTTGCATCAGTTTTCACAGTCCTAGTGGTTTTCTATTTACAAGTGAACTGAAATTTATGTGTAAAATTCATGGAGTACCCCCTTTATATTGTGCTGAAAAGAAACTTAGACAAACAGACCATTTAAGCCTTTAAAATGAAAGTTAGAAAATACCCCAACTATTTCTCTCACTGCTTTCAACCCTATAAAATTTAAGCTTATGCTTTAGCTGTCACATCTACTTTAACATGCATCTTGTTTTTTTTGCTTGTTTCTTTTCCTCACATCGACTGCATGATTCTGAAACTGAACGCTTTACTAGTTTCTTTTGAAATTCCTTACTTTACAGAGTCACAGACTCTGTGATGCATCATCTCTGAAACATTTACAACAGGAATACCTAAGCTCACGGGATTTTGTAGAAACCTACAGAAAGCAATGACACCGTCACATGATGAGCCTGTTTTGTAAGCAGCCCTGCTCCTTTGTTCTTCGGAGAGGTCGTTTATAATAGGAGAGCAAACAAAGCACCATCAGGGATTGTGAAAACCCTTTTTTGATTCTTTTGGAAAGTAGCACACGTAGATGGAAACCAGCACGAACTCACAGCTCTATACATGCTTTTTTTCAACATATGCTGCACTGAAATTGAGTGCTTGCTTCTTTGCTATAACCTTCAAATGCCCGAAATAGATGTCCCCGGTGTACTGGCTGTGAATTCTGGACACTCAGACCTAGCTGAAGCAAGGGACTGGTGGATCAGGTGAATACAAGAGATACTTTGTCATTGCTTAATCCAAAGACAAAAGAAATGGGTGGAATGAAATGAAGAACTGGGGCAAAAAATGAGAGCAATCTATATGTAAAAATTAGGTCACCTTCTGCACATGGGACAACGCTTTACAGTGCATTAAGGATTACAATGTAATTACAGGTTGATCGCTTAATATAACGAGACAAATATATATATATTCTGGATGTTCATACACATCTCAAACAAACCCTGAATGTGAACTACTTATATAACTTAAGAGTGCAATCACAAGGGGAGCTGCTGCAACTCTTACAGTCACATCCAGCACCAAGACACAATCAGCAAATGGTGATGCTCTAGTTTTCTAAATGATGGATGCATGGGTGTAGCCCCAAATCATAAACCGTGTTAGCAACAAGCTTTTATCAATAGTATTTCCTCCTACGCAGGCAGTTCTAGTAGATTTTTAAATAAGTAAGTAGAATTATTAGCTCCTAAATCCTTCAGTGGATCTCTAAAGCCAAATCATAGTGTTGTAGTTACAGCTCTCTGCTGGATACATTCTGTATGTTTACGCAAGAGGATTTAGGATAGAGAGACAACTGGTTGCTAGGTGACTGGATAAAAAGAGGCCACAGGTGGAACTCTTCCAGCCCGAATTTCTTTCCTGCTGTCTTTCCTTGTTTATGCTGCCAGAAGCAGATGCTGTGGTAGTGGACGAGTGGTCTCAGAGAAGCCAAGGCACGTTTACTTTGTAGGTAAAAGCCATCTAAGTTCTAAGATTTGTTCCTTTTCTATTTTTCTGGTTCTTACATCTCCTGTTCCTGCACACTTGGTTTTACATAACACTGCAGCAATCTTTAGCTTGCTCTTTCACTGCCCTTCACTTCCCTCACAACGAGGCCAAAAACGCAGATGCTTTCATCCTTTCTTCATCTTTTTTTTCTTAAATCAATTCACAGAGTTGTTTCTTTTCCATTTTGTGAATGGGTAAATATTACATAATTCTCATAGCTCTATAACTTAAGCCATATACACGGAAGCTCTCGGTACCTCACAGTCTGCACATCACCTGAAATATGACTCATCCATGCACCACAGATAGATTCTATCTGAATCTCTCCTGTGCAACTCCAGCCCCACAACAAACTGCAAGCAGCAAACTGTGTGTGGAAAAAATAGAGACCTAATGACATCCTGTACACATTGCACTGGCACTGGCTTGATTAGTTTCCTAATCAAAAAAATTCCTCAGTAATACACTGAAAGGAAAGCTCTTTACTAGCAACTGTGATTATTGTAGGCACTCTAAAGCCCCCTGAGGACCAGCCTCAGGAAACAAGAAAAGAAAAGGTGGAAACTAGAGAGCAGCCGTGTCAATGAGTGATAGCTAAAGAACGGAAGTCTGTCTTCCCAGTTATTTAAAGCACATTTCTAAAGTTATGGATGAAATGTTAGCTATTTTAGCTTCATAGACCAGGGGAGGCACGTGCGAAGTCCAAGCATAGAGGAAAAAACGATGGTAGGCCGATGCTTCTTGAACTTCAGGCCTTTCTTGAGCCGTTGGCTGTTCTCTGCCACGTACAGCTCCCCCTGCTGGGCTGCACTTGATATCCGCGACACCAATTCCCCGTGAAGCACCACCTCCTGCTCGGAGCGCACAAACACTTCCCTGAGCTCTTCCAGTCGCTTTTCCATCTCTCTGATGACACGTTGGCGCTCCTCTACCTCCAGGAGGCGCCGCCGAGCTGCCTCGAACTCCATGCTGGAGCTGGGGGTGACAAGTTTGGAGGAGGGGGCCGTGGCAGAGGTGGACGGGGGTTCCGAACCTGCTAGCAGAGCCCCTGTCACCCTCCGGAAGTCTCCCATGGAAATGGAGCGCCTGGTGGCTGGAGATGCAAGAGCCAGGAGAGCTGAGGCAGATCCAGAAGGTGGCATGGCTAACGGAGGAAGAGGGGGAGAAGATGATGATGACGACGATGGAGAATCCGGTGGCTCGAGATCAGGCTCTGAATCCGAGCTTTTAATGGCTTCCGTCATGTCCTCAGTTGTGTCTTCATTGTGGGTTTCTGTGTTCTTTTGTCGTCTCTTCATAGCCAGTTTTTGACTCTTCCTGTGCTGCTGCTGTCCTTGTTGTCACTGTTGATGTTTTCTCCCAGTTTTCCTGTGTCAGTTGAGAGAGCAGCCGAGCAGGGAGTGCAGAGGTGTGCTGTGATGCAGCCTGGGAACGGCTCCATTCATTAATAAGAGATCTGAGCCAGGCTTGTGCCGTCTCTGCGTCTGAGTGGTTGTGCTGGAGAGGGGTGCCTCCTGGCATTTCATTGGCTGCTGAACTCATGAGCATGTCAGCTGATGATTGGGCAGCCTCCCGCTCTACTGCTGATGTTGGCAGGCTGTCTCGTCCTTTGCTTGACTATTTTGCTTCGTCGTCGTCATCATCATCATCATCTGGAGCACAGCTTTGATCAGCTCTGTTCACTCAAGCGAGAGATGCAGTAGTATCAGGTCGCTCTCTTTTTATCTGCACTCTTTCACTTGCTTCCTATTCTCCCAGCCTCTCTGCTGCCATCCCTCTTACAAGCTGGTCTCTCCATTTTCCTTTTTTTCCCTTTCTTGCTCGGATGGTTACCCCTAGCAACACCGCCTTGACATAAAATAGCAAAAACAGGAGGGAGGGGGTTATGTTTCAGTTTCTCCCTTCCTTTATTGCCTCCTGCTCAGTATCACTTCTCCCTCACACCCCGACGCTTGTTTGACTCATATGTGAATGTGCATAACTTTGTCTGTTAAATTGCTTCATCTTCATGTCCATAAAAGATGAATTTGAGAACTAACACTTTTGTGAATTTCACCACTTATAGGTCTCCTTCAAAGATTTAATGCAGTAATTGACAGAAATCACAATGAAGCACTATGATACAGCACTGAAAAGTAGTTGCTTCCTTTCTGATTTCTTCGTTTTTGGCAGATTTGTTGCACGTGGATGTTTCAGATCATCAAACACATTTTAATATAATACAAAGATAACCCCAGTAAACATCATTTTTTAGACAGCCGAGTTCAATTTCAGTGGCCGCACCCAGGCCTGATTAGTGCCAGAACTATTGAACCAAGAAATCATGCCAGAGTCATTAACATCCATCAGTCTGAAAAGGGTTACAAAGCCATTCGTTAGGCTTTGGAGCTCCAATGAACCACAAGGAGAGTCATTATCCACAAATGGAAAAAAACTTAGAACAGTGACCAGCCTAACAAAATTATTCTGTGACCATCAACTACATCCAACAGCATCATCCAGGAGATCACAAAAGAACTCTTCATTCTTTTGAACTGGAAATTATTTTTTAAATTTTTATTGTGTTTATTAAATTTGTCATATCGGTCGCTTTTATCATTGTTGAGGACTTTGTAACTTTTTTTTAAAGGTGCTTTATAAACACAAAGGTAAAAAAATTTAACTAGAAAAACAAAGAGAACTGAAAGCCAGCATCTAACATTCAGAGTGCCAGTGTCTTATTTTTTTGTATTTAAACTAAACAGTTGCTGCAGTGTTGTTAGACACTTCATTCTTATTAAATTCATATTAAACAAATATGTAGGACTGCTTTCTTCCATTTGCGCAACATCTCTAAAATTAGAAATATCCTGTCTCAGAGTGACGCTGAAAAACTAGTTCATCCATTTATTACTTCCAGGCTGGACTACTGCAATTCATTATTATCAGGATGTCCTAAAAAGCCTTCAGTTAATCCAAAATGCTGCAGCAAGAGTACTGACAGAGAGCAGATTTCTCCTATACTGGCTTTCCTTCATTGGCTCCCTGTTAAATTCCACAATTGAATTCAAAAATCCTGCTTCTCACATACAAGGTCTTAAATAATCAGGCCCCATCTTATCTTAATGACCCCCTCTTCTGTGGAACCAGCTTCCAGCTTGGATTCAGGAGACAGACACTATCTCTACTTTTAAGATTCAAACTTTCCTTTTTGCTAAAGTTAATTATGCTGCAATAGGTGTAGACCGCTGGGGCATTCCCATGATGCACTGAATATTTCTTCTTCAGTCACCTTTCTCACTCAGTATGTGACTTCTCTGCACTGAATTATACTTCTTATTAGTCTCTGTCTCTCTTCCACAGCACATCTTTCATCCTGTTTTCTTTCTCTCACCCCAACCTGCTGCAGCAGATGGCCGCCCCTCCCTGAGCCTGGTTCTGGTGGAGGTTTCTTTCTGTCAAAAGGGAGTTTTTCCTTCCCACTGTTGCCAAAGCGTTTGCTCATAGGGGGTCATATGATTGTTGGGTTTTCCTCTGCAGGGATTATCATAGGGTCTACCTTACAATATAAAGCTGGTTTAAAGTTGGTGCTTTATAAATAAAATTGAATTTAACTGAATTCTGCAAACCGAGCACATTGAATTGGATTGAATTGAACTTTCTACACGTTTCACCTTTTTACTGCAATGCAGCAAAAAAAAATACTCTCATGTTTCCGAGCTGTATTGTATATAAACTAATGACTAGTCTAACCATTTTAGTCAGTATGATCTGGTTACATCATCGTGATAGAGTACCCTGACTTTTCACCCAGTCTTGCTGTGATCCCTAGTGCACACCCTCTCTGTCTAGACAAGTATTGACTGCTTCATCCTGTGGTTGCAAGTGATATGATCAGTGTATGTAAAGTAAGACACGGGGTGAGTTCACTCAAACACACCTGACAGGACACGTATACTTAGACAGTTTGAAAGGGTAACACTGCTGCATTCAGAGCCTTACAGTAAGAAGTGATGCTTTGAATAACTGCCCTCTGCTAGATTGAATCAACAACTGAAGCTTTTAGCAGGTCAGAGGTAGACTTGCATTTCTGCGAGCATCTACGTGCATGCATATTTCAGTGCTCACTCTGCTCTTTGCTTTTATCTGAGGATTGACATTGCATTAGCAGTAACACCAACTGCTCTCTTCCTGCTCTTAGCTTTACTCATCTCCAGAGAGAAGCCAGAGCAGGATCCAACACAGAAAATTACCCAGATAATGAAGCAAACAAGAAGCGAGAGTGGAGGCAGGATTATAAGTGCTTATAGGAAGATTAAATGCCAAAAAACCCCAAAGATGCTCTTCAGGCTTTTATCCTGCTATTTAAAAAAAGATCTGAAACAACAACATGACAGAGATTGCAGTTCTGAAGAAGACATTGTGATTTTCGGGAAGAGATGAAAGGGCTGAGAGAAATTTAAAGGCTCAGGATAAAACTTTGTTATTATGGAAATGTTGCATGGTGTTAAAGTGTCTACATGAAACACCATATGGAGCTAATACATGCTTTACAATTTATTTTAGATATACATAAAAGAAATATATATACAATAAGCACGATGGCTTGTGTGAGTAAATCCTTTAGGGATCAAGAAAAGATTCCTCAGTGGAGTTTTCTTATTTTTTCTCCAACATGATTTCCGTTTTTGGAAGACTCTACTGGTTGTGTAACATTCCACAGTTAAAAACCACTCAGTCCACACTAATCCCGAATGTTGAATACACAGCTGTACGCGCGCTTTGCCATCATCACTGGCGAACAATTTGACTGGCAAGATGGGGCCTGTCTGAAAAGAAGAGGAAGCTTCTTTTTTTTTTTTAAAGCCTCATCTACTCACACATTTTTCACACTCAGAAAAACAAGTCGTTCTGTCACAGAACATGCAGAATTAATTGAGTCTAAGTGCAAAATCCTTCTCAGAAACAATTATCTTTCACCCCATTTCACCAATGTCTCTCCTCTACCCGCGAAACTAAAATTGTGATTAACGTCCGTTCTCAATCTCTGTTCCAGATTACTTTAATCTGTGTGCTGTGTTTGCATTTGATGCGTGCACGTGTGAGGAGTTAGAGGATCTGTGTGGCTTCTGAGTTCTGAATCTATTTGGGTCAAATTAACTAGTATTAGAATTGTATAACAGTATTGTGAGCTTCTTTTTGCGGTTTGTCTTAAGGACAAGTTATCTGTAGTGGGGTATGTAGCAGTATTATACTGGAACATGGATCCTAAGGATATGGAAAATATTATAAGGCAAAAATGTTGGATATGGTTATACATGGAACACAGATTTGAAGTACTGGATTCTCAGTTTTATTTATTTAACTACTGTAATTGTGACTCTTAGGTCTCTACAACTGCAGTAGTGGTGGTTAGTGCCTTTATAGCTGGAGCACTCATTGTCACAGACATTATTGGACACTTTATTAGGTACACCTGTTCAGCTGCTCGTTAAAACAAATATTGAATCTACCAATTGGCAGCAATTGAATGCATTTAGGCATGTAGACATAATCAAGATGACCTGCTGAGGTTCAAACTGAGCAGCCATGGCATGGTTGTTGTTGCCAGACATGCTGGTCAGTAATTCAAATAACTACTTGTTACAGCCAAGGAAAGCAAAAGAGTATTTTGGGAGATTAAACAGGTTGCAGCAGAAGAACACACCAAGTGCTGAGGCTGCAGTTTGCACAAGCTCACTAAAACTGGACAACAGAACATAGAAAGAAAAAAGTTTTACTCCCAATTTCTGCTGCGAAACTTGGATGGGAGGGTTAGATTTGACATGACCATGTCCATTCCTTTATGATGAAAGTGTACGCATCATTTACCCATCATAATATTCAATTCAATTCAATTCAATTTTATTTATATAGCGCCAAATCACAACAAATGTCGCCTCAAGGC